ATTTCTTTGAGGTCTTTGGCTAATAAAATGTTAAATAAAGGAATAGAGGTCTCATATGTAACAGTATTAAGGCATTTTGAAGGGATCGGATATAAGAAAAATTTGCCAAGAGCCACCCCAATGCTGACAAGAAGCATAAAGAACATCATGTAGAGTGGGCACAAAATCATCTTAATGATAATTGGGGGAAAACCCTATTTTCGGATGAGACAGCTTTCCAGCTTTACCGAAACACAATTGAAAGATGGTATAAGAATGTAAGACCCATTTTCCCAATGCCAAAAGATCGCACCAAAATTTTTGCTTGGGGTGGCTTTTGCATCCATGGAAAGACTAGTCTTTTTTGCTTCTGAGAAATTATGAATGCAGAATTTTATGTTGAAATATTGGAAAATCATCACCCAGAGATCCAAAGAATGTTAGGGGATGATTGGCGGTTTCAACAGGATAATGATCCCAAACATACAAGCCGCCAAGCTAAAACATTTCTTCAAGAAAACTTTCCCAAAGTTATGGATTGGCCATCCAACAGTCCTGATTTAAACCCAATAGAAAATTTGTGGGCTATTGTTAAGAGGAATGTGGAGAAGAGAATGCCAAAAAATCTGGCAGAATTGGTGCAGTTTATTGGGGTTGGTCACAACGGTTGATCATCAAAATTAATAAACATCAATAATTAAATTTCATATATGCGGATTTTTTAACTGTTATTTTGAAAATTTTGTAACACAAAAATTTTTATAATAATAATAATAAATAAATTTTTCACGACTAAGAAATAATTTGAATCATAATGTCATTTCGTGAAATAATTTTTTCATTACAAATATTTATTGGATTGGGAGTAATTGTATGCTGTTGAGCACAAATTCCTTTAGTTTCTTGGAGGTAAGATTGAATAATAATAATAATAACTCATAACATAAATGAATCAATTTTTTTTGTTACAAAAACATTCATTAAATATATAATTATTTATTTTTTAGCATATGTTTTAATATATTTTTGGTTGCCTCCTCACCAAAGTTCAAATTTATTGGATTGGGAGTAACTCTATGCTGTTGAGCATGAATTTCTTTAGTTTTTTGGAGGTAAGATTGAATCACAATGATAATAAATAATAACTCATTTCATGAAACAATATTTTTATTACAAAAATATTTATTAAATATATTTTTTAATCAAAGTTCAAATTTGTTGGATTAGGAGTAATTGTAAGCCTCCTTTAGTTTCTCTGAAGTAAGATTTGAATCATAATAATAATAAATCATAACTCATAATAAGCCACTTCATGAAACAATTTTTTATGTTACAAATACATTTATTAAATATATAATTATTTATTTTTTGTTACAAAAACATTTATTAAATATATAATTATTTAATTTTTTGTTATAAAAACATTTATTATATATATAATTATTTATTTTTTAGTATATGTTTGGTTGTCTCCTCATTAAAATTCAGATTTATTGTATTGGGAGTAATTCTATGCTGTTGAGCATGAATTTCTTTTAGTTTCTTGGAGGTAAGATTGAATCACAATGATAATATATAATAACTTATTTCATGAAACAATATTTTATTACAAAAATATATTAAATATATTTTTTAACCAAAGTTCAGGTTGGGAGTAATTGTAAATCTCCTTTAGTTTCTCTGAAGTAAGATTTGAATCATAATAATAAATCATAACTCATAAATAAGTCACTTCATGAACAGATTTTTTTGTTACAAATACACTTATTAAATATATAATTATTTATTTTTTAGTATATGTTTTAATATATTTTTGGTTGCCTCCTCACCAAAGTTCAAATTTATTGGATTGGGAGTAATTCTATGCTGTTGAGCACAAACATCTTTTAGTTTCTCTGAAGTAAGCATACATCCTAAAGGTTTAGGTCCTGAAAGTTGTAGTCTAGATTCTTGCAAATCAATATTCATATTGGCATGTATCTTTAAATCATATTTATTAAACATGCCCTCTACATGCTGCTGATGAACAACTATTGACCAAATTCTATTTTTAATGAAATCATAAGTAAAGGAAAATCAAATAATTTGGGATCATTGGCCACAGAGAAGGCAATAAATTCATTACGAAAGTCATCTTCTTGTAACGCTTCAAAGAGACCAAAAGATTCTTTTCTCTGATTATTGAAATCATCTACCAACTGGTCAATATATTTACTTGCTAGATTATTAGAAAAATTTGGTAGAGGAGTGTTTAATACTACACAGATAACTGCCTGTGCAAATGCTTGGCCATTGTTACCCCCTAAACTACAGACCGAAAGTGGTAAGTGAGTCCATATATCCATCCACTTTTTAAACATTTCCAAGGCTTTTGCTAACCCTGCTTTGACCTTATTCGTTAAATCAATATAATCATTTTCTTCTAGGTGCTCACTTGCAGCCTGAAATTCTTCAAAGAAAATGATTTCTGGTCTCTCTACAACCTCATTCAATTCCTTGGTCCATTTTCCCACCATATCTGGTAGCTCATGAGCTCGATAACCATTGGGGAGTGTTTTAGGGGTGCCATTATGTTGTACCCTAGGACAAGGGTCTGCTCCAGTAAGAAAATGGAATAATCGTTCATAGAACCATTTGCCAAATTGTACCATAATTCTAATTAAAATATTCATTTTTTCATCCTGTAACCAACTGAGGAAAGTAGTCCACTTATGATAATATCTCTCTGGCACATTTTTTGAGGACATCAACTGATCAACAAAAAATCTTGCAAACACATGGTGTATATCTTTTCTGTCAAGATACTGTTTGGCTGTTTCTAATTGGTATAGCCATCTGGTTGAAATAGGTTTTTGGTAATTTTTCAATTGATATTGGAGAAAGGTCCAATACAACTTTTTAATTGTTTCTGTTTTCATGTTTAGAGGATTATCTTTATCTGAATCATTGTAACCATTGTGAAGGTAGTAGGCAAGATTCAGTAGATTAAAAGGATGTGGACGTAAGGACAAACCAGAGGGATTAGGATTACTGCCAAATGTAATTTTCTCAAAAGCATTTACAACAATATGAATTGCATGGAGGCCACAAGGAATCCTAACTGTCTTTGATCCTGTTTTTTTTTTGAACTCAACTACAGCACCACCCTTTTCCCCAGACATATATCCAGTATTGTCAGTAAGCCAGTACAGACATTTATTTGTAAATATATTATAAGATTGACACGATTCTATTATAGTATCACAGACAACAATGGCACTACAACGTTCTATATCTACCATTCGGATTATAGAAAGTAAGGGTTCATTAGTGTGATGGTTCCAATATGACAAGCATACTAAGAAAATTTTTTTCTCTCCTCTAGTGCTTTCATCTGCAATAATACCATAAGAAAAGAATCTACAATCTTTATTAGGAAGATTGTCATGAATCACAACTTGAGCTACCTCTTTATTCCACCTTGCCAATGTTCTATGGGATAACCAGGATTCAGGTGATTGACCAGTTAGAAAGGCAAAGATCTCTTTGTACATTGAACAGTTGAGGATAAAGACATCTGACCAATATTACTCATTTGAGTAGCTAGGGAAACAAATTCAGGTGTGTAGGCATTTTTATTTGCTTTGAATTTTTTTGTTACAGCATTTTGAAAGACTTTATCTGATATTGATTTCCTTTTACTAACAAGAGAACGGGTCTGGGAAACATAAGTTTTTCTTCTTTGTTCTTGCCTAGTAACCTTAATTGCAAGTGATTTTTTATATGCATTAAGATTTTCAATTTTTTTTTTTAATTTTTTAATTTCCTTTTCTAATTCTTTCATTTTCTGATTTATCTCAGATTCATTATTCTGAGGTTTGCCTTTAGTCATTAGGACCCATTCCATGGCTTTTTTTGCAAATAAGGAGACAAAATCTTACCTTGATGTGTACCATTTGGATATTGCATGTTTTCAAACAATTGGGAGCAAGCAATTAATTCTTTTTCATCTAAATCATTTATTTTATTAATTAATTCAATTCTAATTTGCTTTGCCTTAGTACTAAGTTCTGCCATATTAGTTTGATCTATAGTATTAACAGATGAGTGATCTAAAATATCTTGGGGGTAAACATTTGATGCATTTTGGAAAGTTGAATCAAAGACATCTTGGGATAGAGAAACATAATCATCTCTGGATAAGGAATCATTGGTTACTAGAAATGACTTGTCAAGATCCATAGGTGAACTATTTTCTTTTTCAATTGGATCATAATTTTTCTCTTTTTTGATTAGACGGGCCTGTTGAATTAGCCTTAATTTTTGATGAAGTTTTGGCATTTTATTTGATCAAAATTTTATTAGACTAACAATCTTTTATAACAATTTTTATTTAATAACATTTTTCCATTTCCTTAAAAGGGAAGGATTGTCAAAGCAAATGTTAATAGAAAATTGGTAACTTTGAACCTTTACAAAAAATTTTTTTACTAATATAAATGAAAAAAACTCTCTGACAGGCCCTTAATTGAGCATATGCAAATACAATCGCGGAAGGATTATTCCAATAGCTTGCTTGGTTATCGAGCCTTTACGTTTTAAAGTTTAAATAAATTTCCATTGTTTATAGTAAAATCAATAAAGTTGGTAACTTTGAACCTTTACAAAAATTTTTTTTACTAGTATAATTAAAAAAAACTCTCTGACAGGCCCTTAATTGGGCATCTGTAAAGACAATCACGGAAAGTTTATTCCAACAGCTTGCTTGGTTATCGAGCCTTTACGTTTTAAAGTTTAAATAAATTTCCATTGTTTATAGTAAAATCAATAAAATTGATAACTTTGAACCTTTACAAAAAAATTTTTTACTAATATAATTGAAAAAAACTCTCTGACAGGCCCTTAATTGAGCATATGCGAATACAATCGCGGAAGGATTATTCCAACAGCCTGCTTGGTTATCGAGCCTTTACGTTTTAAAGTTTAAATAAATCTTCGATTATTTACTATGTTTTGATGATATATGTGTGTAACATTAAAAAATCCGCACATAGTAATTTTCTATATTGACCTGAACTATGTTTGATGATCAACCATTGTGAC